TGGACTTTTGTGGAACCACTGCCGCTGAAATGGTATCTGCCTTCCCTTTTTTTTGGAACAGGCATCTTCTTGGAAATTGTGTTGATGCCTTGCTGCCGCTGGACTTCTGCAGTTCCCAATCTTGGACTGGACTTTTGTGGAACCACTGCCGCTGAAATGGTATCTGCCTTCCCTTTTTTTTGGAACAGGCATCTTCTTGGAAATTGTGTTGATGCCTTGCTGCCGCTGGACTTCTGCAGTTCCCAATCTTGGACTGGACTTTTGTGGAACCACTGCCGCTGAAATGGTATCTGCCTTCCCTTTTTTTTGGAACAGGCATCTTCTTGGAAATTGTGTTGATGCCTTGCTGCCGCTGGACTTCTGCAGTTCCCAATCTTGGACTGGACTTTTGTGGAACCACTGCCGCTGAAATGGTATCTGCCTTCCCTTTTTTTTGGAACAGGCATCTTCTTGGAAATTGTGTTGATGCCTTGCTGCCGCTGGACTTCTGCAGTTCCCAATCTTGGACTGGACTTTTGTGGAACCACTGCCGCTGAAATGGTATCTGCCTTCCCTTTTTTTTGGAACAGGCATCTTCTTGGAAATTGTGTTGATGCCTTGCTGCCGCTGGACTTCTGCAGTTCCCAATCTTGGACTGGACTTTTGTGGAACCACTGCCGCTGAAATGGTATCTGCCTTCCCTTTTTTTTGGAACAGGCATCTTCTTGGAAATTGTGTTGATGCCTTGCTGCCGCTGGACTTCTGCAGTTCCCAATCTTGGACTGGACTTTTGTGGAACCACTGCCGCTGAAATGGTATCTGCCTTCCCTTTTTTTTGGAACAGGCATCTTCTTGGAAATTGTGTTGATGCCTTGCTGCCGCTGGACTTCTGCAGTTCCCAATCTTGGACTGGACTTTTGTGGAACCACTGCCGCTGAAATGGTATCTGCCTTCCCTTTTTTTTGGAACAGGCATCTTCTTGGAAATTGTGTTGATGCCTTGCTGCCGCTGGACTTCTGCAGTTCCCAATCTTGGACTGGACTTTTGTGGAACCACTGCCGCTGAAATGGTATCTGCCTTCCCTTTTTTTTGGAACAGGCATCTTCTTGGAAATTGTGTTGATGCCTTGCTGCCGCTGGACTTCTGCAGTTCCCAATCTTGGACTGGACTTTTGTGGAACCACTGCCGCTGAAATGGTATCTGCCTTCCCTTTTTTTTGGAACAGGCATCTTCTTGGAAATTGTGTTGATGCCTTGCTGCCGCTGGACTTCTGCAGTTCCCAATCTTGGACTGGACTTTTGTGGAACCACTGCCGCTGAAATGGTATCTGCCTTCCCTTTTTTTTGGAACAGGCATCTTCTTGGAAATTGTGTTGATGCCTTGCTGCCGCTGGACTTCTGCAGTTCCCAATCTTGGACTGGACTTTTGTGGAACCACTGCCGCTGAAATGGTATCTGCCTTCCCTTTTTTTTGGAACAGGCATCTTCTTGGAAATTGTGTTGATGCCTTGCTGCCGCTGGACTTCTGCAGTTCCCAATCTTGGACTGGACTTTTGTGGAACCACTGCCGCTGAAATGGTATCTGCCTTCCCTTTTTTTTGGAACAGGCATCTTCTTGGAAATTGTGTTGATGCCTTGCTGCCGCTGGACTTCTGCAGTTCCCAATCTTGGACTGGACTTTTGTGGAACCACTGCCGCTGAAATGGTATCTGCCTTCCCTTTTTTTTGGAACAGGCATCTTCTTGGAAATTGTGTTGATGCCTTGCTGCCGCTGGACTTCTGCAGTTCCCAATCTTGGACTGGACTTTTGTGGAACCACTGCCGCTGAAATGGTATCTGCCTTCCCTTTTTTTTGGAACAGGCATCTTCTTGGAAATTGTGTTGATGCCTTGCTGCCGCTGGACTTCTGCAGTTCCCAATCTTGGACTGGACTTTTGTGGAACCACTGCCGCTGAAATGGTATCTGCCTTCCCTTTTTTTTGGAACAGGCATCTTCTTGGAAATTGTGTTGATGCCTTGCTGCCGCTGGACTTCTGCAGTTCCCAATCTTGGACTGGACTTTTGTGGAACCACTGCCGCTGAAATGGTATCTGCCTTCCCTTTTTTTTGGAACAGGCATCTTCTTGGAAATTGTGTTGATGCCTTGCTGCCGCTGGACTTCTGCAGTTCCCAATCTTGGACTGGACTTTTGTGGAACCACTGCCGCTGAAATGGTATCTGCCTTCCCTTTTTTTTGGAACAGGCATCTTCTTGGAAATTGTGTTGATGCCTTGCTGCCGCTGGACTTCTGCAGTTCCCAATCTTGGACTGGACTTTTGTGGAACCACTGCCGCTGAAATGGTATCTGCCTTCCCTTTTTTTTGGAACAGGCATCTTCTTGGAAATTGTGTTGATGCCTTGCTGCCGCTGGACTTCTGCAGTTCCCAATCTTGGACTGGACTTTTGTGGAACCACTGCCGCTGAAATGGTATCTGCCTTCCCTTTTTTTTGGAACAGGCATCTTCTTGGAAATTGTGTTGATGCCTTGCTGCCGCTGGACTTCTGCAGTTCCCAATCTTGGACTGGACTTTTGTGGAACCACTGCCGCTGAAATGGTATCTGCCTTCCCTTTTTTTTGGAACAGGCATCTTCTTGGAAATTGTGTTGATGCCTTGCTGCCGCTGGACTTCTGCAGTTCCCAATCTTGGACTGGACTTTTGTGGAACCACTGCCGCTGAAATGGTATCTGCCTTCCCTTTTTTTTGGAACAGGCATCTTCTTTTCTCTTTTTTTTTTTTGCCCTGAACAGGTATCTGCTTTTCTTCCCCCAGCCCCCCCCGCCCCCTTGAATATCAACTGTCATCCCTCTACCAGGGAGGTGATAGGAGCACCTCTATGGTAGAAGGCGGCATGCGGATAGCTCCATTGAGTCCATTCTCCTTCTCTTTCAAAAAAGGTGATGGTCTCCAGATATCATCATTGAACAGACCTGCCCTAGGTAATTCAGAATCTGTTCATGCGTCTGCATCTGGATTCAAACTTAGGTCTGTAATTCAACAGTTCATTGGTGTACCAACTGAGCTGGCCACATTAACTTGTCGTCAAGTCCATTCTATTTGTGGGGAGCAGCAGGTGCTGGATATTGGGTCCAGCGTCCCACTGGAAACCCAGCCCAGCATCCCAACTTGCATAATCAGTCTGATTCAGTCACCAACTTACAAGATAGCATTGGTTGCATCAGTACCATCCTAAATTTCTCAGTAGAATTGTTACTGGCAGTAATTGGAACTGTCTTCTCCTGCTCTTGCCACTGAAAGAGTGGAGGCGGCGTGGAGGAGGAGCGTGGGAGGAGCGGAGGAGGTGGTCAGGAGGAGCAGAGGAGGCACGGAGGAGTGGGGGGAAGGCGGGGTGAAGGAGGAGCAGAGGAGCCGCAGGGAAGGTGCAGAGGGGGAGCGGAGGAGAAGCAGAGGAGGAGAAGAGGAGCGGAGAATGTCCGGAGAAGGGGCAGAGAGGGCCGGAGGAGCAGAGGAGGGGGGGCGGAGGATTAGCGGAGGAGGCGGGGCAGAGGAGTGGAGGGGGAGAGCAGGAGCAGCGGAGGAGATGCAGAGGATGGGCGGGGCAGGAGGGGAGGAACAGAGAAGGGGAGGCACAGCGAAGGAGAGATGCGGAGAAGCTGCGGAGGATGAGAGGAGACGAGGAGGATGAGCAAAGGAGGTGGGACGGAGGAGCGGAGAAGCTGCAGAGGCGGCGCAGCGGATGAGCGGATGAGGAGCAGAGGGGCGGAGAGGTTGTGGAGAAGGAGCGGAGGAAGAGGGGAGGAGCAATGGAGGAGGGGGAGGAGGGGCGGAGGGGAGCAGAGAAGCTGTGGAGGAGGAAGGGGGAAGAGGGGAGGAGCAGCGGAGGATGAGCAGGAGAGGAGGGAAGTAGCGGAGGATGGGCGGAGGAGGCGCGTAGAAGCTGTGGAGAAGGCCCGGAGGATGAGCGGAGGAGGGGCGGAGGAACGGAAGAGCAGCGGAGGAGAGGTACGAGCGGGGGAGGGAGTGGCTGAGCGGAGTGGGACGGCTCTCTCTCTCTCTCTCTCTCTCTCTCTCTGTGTGGAATGGGCCGGTTGTGTCCTCGGGGACGGGTGCAAGGGAGTGAGGGGGCAGGATAGCGGAGTCGGGTGATGGAAGAGGCGCGGAGGGTGAACGGAGGCCGGAGAGGAGGTAGAGGAAGCAAGATACTAATCTGAGCGTTCTTTGTGGTAGCGTTGAGGCGTCGAGAGTCCACCACCCGTCAATCACCGGGCACACCACAGCTCACGACTGTCCACCGCA